GCATATCTTCTTTTGCTGACTATTGGTGAACATCGGACAAACTAGTATACACCAATATATACAGAGAGTTCTTCAAGCACTTTATTCTGATACGCCAGTTCCTGAATTGTAGCCCTTGTGATAACAGTGTGCGTGATGTGTACAAATGTTGACACACAGACAAATATGATCAATTAGTAGTACCTATTCTTTGAATCGACGCCACACACTTAAATACTCATATTCATATGAATACAAACATAATCCACTCAGTCTTAAAATAACAGGAATCATACCTGATCCTCCACCTGAGGCCCTGCCAGGTATGTGGGGATGTAGGGTTCGAGGTGCTGCTGGAAGATGTCTGTCAACGGTGGTAAGTTCAACGAATCCTTCTTATCGTTGCGTGAACTTTTACGCCTGGATAGTGGACTGTTCGCTCTTTCCAGCTCATCCTTAATCTGTGCACGGTCCTGGCGACTTGGCCGTCCCCACGACGCACCTGATGCAGACCTTTTCAGTGCACTCTTGCCCTCTTCCGTCTCCTGCAACCACTCCTTGACGTCCAGCGCCTCCGAGCTTTTGGTACCTCTCATTCTGGGTGTGTGCTTCAATGCCTCTGTTGTAGGTGTAATACCCACCACGAAGCGCCCGCTCGTACTGCGCGTGAGCTTGTTTGCATTCTTCTCTGCGTCCGTGGTACTTGCCCCACTCCCTCTGGACGGGTGTTGTAGACTATCCATGCTCTCCTTAGTGCTAGCACTAAGAGTTCTCACACCTGATCGCTCGGTTGGCTTTGTATCCACCTTCGTGCACTCCTTGGTACACTCTGCGGTGCAAACTTCACCCGTCTTCACACCTTTAGCGAAATCGTGTTTCTCAGCCTCTGCCTTCGGCGTTAGAGCTACACTGAAACGGTTGCCCCCTTCGCTGATAGCAGTGGAACTGTGGCTCGCGTTGGCGAACAAACTGTCCGCACCTTCAGGTGTCGGAGCAGACGAACGGGAACGTATAACTTCAGGAGTAACTTTCGCTACTACAGGAGTATCTTTCGCTACTGTGAGAGGTGAACCCGGAGATCCGGGAGCCGACGCACGTGCTCCGGCTGGGAGTACACTAAATCTACCTACCGATGCCAAGCGGTGGGGCGAGGCGAATCCATCCATCGACGTGGCGCGGTGGAGTGAATTTTTTGTATCTCCGCCGCCCCTATTGCTACCTGTACCTAATCTACCCATATCACTGCTCAGTCCCAGTGACTTGGTGCCTTTGATCGCACGACGCTCCCCGTGATTGGTCAAGCCGCGCGCGGCGACCACTTTGCCCATGTCGCCACCTGTATTCCCCGGGATGACGTCATCGGTGCACTTGGCATCGTCCCTCAGGTGTGGATCTCGTGCGCTGAGCGGCCGTGTGGTGGTAGCGGTGGGGGTGTTGGGGGTATCGAGTGAGAGAGTGTGTGTGTCGTTGTGTGGCGCCCCTGAGTCCGATGTGCCCGTGAGTACTACTACGGGTGGCTCATGTGTGTTCATCGCTGCAGGGGTGTGGGGTTGGGTGGGTGGGGCTGCGGACGGTGTGTCGATCTCAGCCGTATCCGCCGAGTGGTGGTGCGGTTTGAGTTGCTGTGTCTCGTGTTGTTGTGGTGTGTGCTGTTGTAGCTGGTGCTGCTGGGCACAGGAGTCACTGGAATCAGCTGTGGGTGTGCTGTGCCCGTCTGCCGATTTGCTCTGGACGAGGCGGGTGATAAGCAATAGTGGTCAAGTGCGTGTGAGTCAGGACGTACATCACACATGATGCGAGAAGTGAGACAACACACCAAAACCACACAGCCACACACCATGGAGGGTTTTAGGGTTTTTCTGCTTAATGGTTGTGAGTAGCTGCACGATTATGGTGATGATCCGAGTGTCCGGTGTTGCGCACCCACGCACAAATGGGCACGACTGCACGACCTATCAATACGGTTTAAAAGAGTACTACACAACTGCTGCAGATCACAGAATACTGCTATCCATTCCACGCAAACATTCTGTATCCAAAAACACCTCAAATGAAGCGATATACCAGTACAGGTGTGTCTCCCGCATCAGGCGCTTTGTTTCGGCGTGTCATCTGTTCGCTTAATCCGTCATCTGAGATTGCACCGCCCCCTATTACGTCATCAAGTGTGCGCATGTGTGCCTCGTTGACTGACAAAATGTTCGGTCGGGCAGTGGGCTTTTGGTTGGGCAAAGTCTCACTCTGAGCAGGAATGAATGTTGCGGCAACTTAAATGGTAAATGTGAAGTAATTAACTAGAATCTGGTTTTACACCTATGGTATCTTCACCGACCAGATTTGCGATCGACGTGATGAGGAAGTGGACCCGTGCCTATATGTAAAAAAATCACACTTGGATGCGGACTCAAATGCAGACCCATAAGTGCGTATCAACCCGCACCTAACAAATGACTGCTCATAAGGCAACACAAAGTATACAAGTGATTTGTGTGCACAATCGATGCAATACAAAACGCGTTCT